CCTGACCTGGGTGGTGAGGGCCCCGTGGCCGTGAGGTGCGCCAGCCCCATCCCGGCGCGGCCCCACACCAGCGCCAAGCCCTGCAGCCACAGCAGCGACAACCGTAGCGCCTCCATTGCCGCGCCGGACAGACCAAGGGCCGCGCTCGCAACAGGAACCGACCGCGCGCAGGCGCCAACGGCCCCCAGCGGGGGGCGGGGTTCGAGGCGGGGGGGAGCGCCTCACAGCGGGCCGGCCGTGAGGGGAACAGGACGAGGAGCCGGCTTTATAGGCCGGGGTCTCGGCCCCGCAGGCGCCCGGAGAGGGTGTTTCACCTTCCGTGAGCTCCCGGTGCGTGCGGCCTGCGCTGGCCGTGCTTGTGGTGTCAGCGTGCCTTTGGCGCAGCTGTGCGAGCGGCCGAGCTGTGGCTGCAAGTCACTCCCAGTCACTTGCAGGCTCAGTTCTGTGATATAGCAAGCCTCTTTCCCCTCCCTCAAGGCTTATTATTCTTTTGATTTGACCCTCTTTTTTCCTTCCTTTGCTGTGTGGACTCTTCCGGTCCCTGTGAGGGCAGGGAGGTGGCGAGGATCCCTTGCCCTGTCTCCTGCTTGCTGGTGTCGTTTTTCGGTGAGGATGGCCAGCAGGCTGCCAAAGCCAACAGAGCCAACAAAGGTATCCCCAAGTCAGGGCTGGCCAGAGAAGGGAATAAAGAGATGGAGACAAATGTGAAAATTTGCCATGACCTTCCCATTTTAAAAGATTAATGAGTGTTTGGTTTTCCACGGTGACCCGCCTCTTGGGGCCTTACAGAAGCACGTAGTGCTCTTTGAAGTGCCCAGGGGTAAACAAAACACCCAGATAGGGCTGCAAGATACAACACAAGAATGAAAGACCCCAAAGCCTCTGAGATGGCAGGGTAAGGACACAGAGGAAACTGTGGGCATCTCAATGGCCCTAGACAACTGTGGTTAGGCACCAAATCGGGTCCTTAATGGCCAATGAAGTGAGATACCTTGCCATGCTTTGACAGCCAACCTTGCTTTAATTAAATGATCCTATAGCTGAGCTTTGTTAGCTTCTCTGTGATCGTGTTCAGGAGTGGGAAGTTTGATATTGTGCAATCAACAGCCAAAGTACTGGTGTAGGTTTTTTTAGTGCTGAACAACTTTGCTTTGAGTAGGAAGCAAACACTCCCTCCAAGCATGGCACTGTTTCAGTCAGCAGTGACTCCAGTTGCTTGTGACCTTCTTTCTCAAACACAATAGCGTTTAGACCACCTTTATTAGCCTTGTGTAATGATACTATTGTTGTTATTGAAAGTATTGCAGGCATAGGGAGAGCAGCTCTTTGCTGTTCGACATGCTTTTGCAAATGCACTTGAGCCTTAACAAGGAATAAGAAGAATGTTCTTCACAGTGCTTGACCTTGCCATCCTATCTAACTTTAGACACCTGATTCACCTTACTGCAGAGGTTAATCTCCCTAAAATCCTACACAGTAAAAGATGAGTAGCTCCAGGAAACAGTTCAGAGGGAATTAGGATAACTGCTAGTAACTCCAGTGACTTAGGCCAGTGCATAAAATTTAAGGGAACAAACCTGAGTCTTGTTGCTTGGTTCTAAGGCTGTGGGCCTTCAAAGCTGACAGAGTGCTACACCGCACCAAGATGGCTTTGTGAGAGATTTGGCAGTTTCAGCAGGGCCTGATTGGAAGGTGCCCTTACCTTAAATGAAGTTTCAACCTGTGCATTAAAAAGTTGTTTACATTTGTCGTGGTTTAACCTCAGTCGGCAACTGGGCACCACACAGCCGCTTGCTCACTCTCCCCCCTCGGTGGGATGGGGGAGAGAATCAGAAGAGTAAAAGTCAGAAAACTTGTGGGTTGAGGTAAGAACAGTTTAATAATTGAAATAAAATAAAATACTACTACTACTACTACTAGTAATAATAATAAGAAGAATATACAAAGCAAGTGATGCACAGTGCAATTGCTCACCACCCACCGACTGATGCCCAGCCAGTCCCTGAGCAGCGGCCCCCCCGGCCAACTTTCCCCCAGTTTATGTACTGACCATGACGCCACATGGTATGGAATGTCTCTTTGGCCAGTTTGGGTCAGCTGTCCTGGCTGTGCCCCCTCCCAGCTTCTTGTGCACCTCCAGCCTTCTCAGTCGGTAGAGCATGGGAAGCTGAGAAGTCCTTGACTAGTGTAAGCACTACTTAGCAACAACTAAAACATCAGTGTGCTATCAACATTATTCTCATGCTAAATCCAAAACACAGCGCTGTACCAGCTACTAGGAAGAAAATTAACTCTATCCCAGCTGAAACCAGACCAGGACAACATTTTGGCTATGAAATAAGCCAAATCTTTGGATTTTTGCCAGCAGGACTAGAGTCCCTGCCTCTCAGTTTTCAGGGAGTGTTAGAAAAATAAAGTCAAGGTGTGGGTATACGGGCCATATGGAAACCAAGATGTTTTTACATGAGCTTAATGTAGGACAATACTGACTCATGACTCCAGCCTTCTTCAGCTGGCTGCATCATAGACTCATAGAATGGTTTGGGTTGGAAGGGACCTTTAAAGATCATCTAGTCCAACCCCCTGCAATGAGCAGGGACATCTGAAGACCAGGTTTTGCCACGTGTTCAAGTCTATAAATCTTTATGCTCTGAAACAGTTCTATTTTTCTTGTTTCCATATTCTTGAGTCACCTGGAACGTGCTCTTGGAATAGTAGATTCACATAGATGAGTGACAAAGACTAGCAAAGATAAGAAACTGTTTACATAGATAGTAATAATTCAATAGACTATAGCTAAGGAGGCATATAACAGAGATGTATAAAGTCATGAGTGGCACAGAAAAAGTGAACACAGAATGACTGCCTTTTGTAATACAGGACCTAGAGGGCATTGAACAAAATTATCAAGTAGAAGATTGAAAACAAAAGTACTTAGAAGAAAATAAAGTGCCTAAAGTATAGCTAAGTTGTGAAACTCTGTCTTTGGATATTAAGGACACTAAAAGTTTAGATTAGTCCAAAAAGATTGGATTTTTTTCCCATGAATATGTCTGTTAACAGTTATTAAATATCAAGGTATCACCTCTCGTTCAGAAAGTCCCTAAACCACACTGCCAAAAGCTGTGTGTAACTGCCAAGGAAGATGCATTATATGGTTGCTTCATTCTGACATTCTTCCTTAGGCATCTGTTGTTGACTGCCATTTTAGGCAAGATACTGAGCTAAAAGTATACTTGAAATTACTTTATATAGCTATTCTCATTAATTTTCTTTTTCTCAAAAGCTTATGTTGTATTCTACATGATTTTGATTAAATGTACTGAATTATGTTTGAGGCAGAGGGGAAGTCCTCTAGCTGATTTTTTATATCTTAGTTTTGGATGGGTTTATGTATTCAGTGAAGAACGACTTCTCATAAAACAGCTCAAATTCCAAGCCAGAGTTTGTGATTTTTCATTGAGTTGCTTTTAGCGTGGTTATTCTAAAGGAAGTATCTTTTAGCTGGAGCAAAGAGTTATGGGAGAGGGGGAAAAAAAAGAATTTGTTGAGAGCTCTTCAGAAGTATGGTTACATCCATCTTCTCTGATCTAGCTTTGTTATTCCTTTGGGGGACAAAAACACTAATATAATTTATTAACAGCTACATTAATTCTCTCACAATAGCTATACCTACAGTAATGAATCACTTTTTTTCTTGATTAGGTAACCACTCCCTCAGCAGACATAAATTCCCAGGAAATGGAGTGTAGAAGACATGAAAAAGTGATCTACCAAGAAACTGGGTTTGGAACAAGCAATATGTATTAAGATTACAAACAAAAAGAAAATCTCAGAACTTAAACAGATTTTGCTTTTTTCTATCATAATTCCATATCCATTTCAAATGATAATAAGGATTTTTCTGTCAGCTCTGTAGATTCTGCCTGGGGTTTTGAACAGTGTTTCTACTCATGCATTTTCAGCAGCACCTCTGGCCAGGGTCCCTCTTCCTCATCTCTGCTCCAGCTCCTCCCTTGTGATAGAATAGCTGAATGTGCTGTTCACTGGGTAGCTGAACAAAGAACGGATTTGGCTGACAGAGTCTTGTCTTCTTTTTTTAGCTGGTTTATTTTTCATTATTACCAGTGCTAACAATCTCAAAGGTGACATATGAGTTACAAAGTCTGTGTGTGTTCAGCTGATTCCCTTAATGACAGTATGACTTCATCACCGTGAATGAGTTTACCCAGCTTGCCTGATTACACTGTGCGTAAATAATTCAGCTGCTAAGTCATGTAAGTGATTAGAATGTCACTTTTTCTTCTTTGCTGTGTTGGGCTTATAGACATAAGCCCTGGTAAAAGGCATTTTACCTCAGCAATACATTGTTCAAAAAGGTTGTTTTAGTTTGTGGCTGGCTGGAGCATGAATGTATCTTCAGGTTGCAATTTGATGTGTACTTAGATCAGTGTTCCCACAAAAAGCAGTCTGTGCTTCTCTCTCCCTTAATGCTTGTTCTTGCATCCAACAAACACTGTGGTATATGAACAAAAACATTTCTGCAGTCCTATAGTGAACTGATGCAGCTGAAAGTTTGTTTTTCAGCTGGATCAGTGATACCCTATCTGGGTCATTGAGGAGGAGACCAAATTCTTGTGCTGGCACAGCAGAGGAGGAATTGTGAGGACACGACTAATATCCCAGGGAAGAAGAAGGACCTCTTGTTTTTTTTTTTTCCAGTTGCAGGACCAGCTTAAACGCATGTTGGCTTCATATTAAGGCTTCGTTGAAGTCATGCAAGAGGGTAACATGAGGTCTAGTACTTTGTTAAAGTGAGTTACTAACTGTGACTAAACACCTACAGGGAGCAGATCTGCTGAGTAAGAATGTGCACCTTTATATAGTCATCCTTAAGAGTGTATTCAGATTTTAGTAAATTGGCTCTTACAACTATCTTCTTAAAAATCAAAGTATTAATAATGCCATTTTATAGAGGAAAAGGTGCAGCCACCAGTTCAGGCTATTTCTCAAGATCAAATAAAGAAAATTAGACCTTCCAGGTCAATGTCCACCTTCTGTCTTATAACCACCACCCTTTCATAAATAATCTTCACTGACACAGAACTCCTAGAAATCCTAATAATTAGAAGTGGTAAGTTTCATAAACAGATTAGCTCCAGTCCTGCAAATACACAGATAGCAAATATTTGTAGGGATTAGAACAATGCAGTATGGAGGGAAAGTGATATACTTTATTCAAGGTTTTGTAATTCTGCTATAAATACAGTGGTCCAATTTCATGTTTCAGGCAAACCCTGAGATGAAACCGGAGATTAAATTGGCTATTAAATGGTCTTAATAAATTCAGGCATGATCAGCTGAATACTACTGGGACAGTTAAAGTAAGTCAGCTTCTCAATTGATG